TTTACTATGTAGGGCGCAGTAGAGGAGGTTAACGACGAGGAGACAACTGAAGAATAAGGGGAGTTGTATCATCTTCTACCAGATGAGGTCTAGATGCTCGTGGTTCAATAGGTCCTACAGACTGAGGATGTGAAGGATCCGGAGTGGCTTCACCATAATATATTCTACACCTGTTGCACTGTGAATGAAAAGATATGCAATATCATCATCGATGGGGGGAGTAGGAAGAATGTGATGTCTATGCAGATGATAGAGAAATTGGGCCTAATGACTCAAAGGCATTCTCAATCGTATTCTTTGACACGATTGAAGGAGAACATGGTCAATATTTGTCGGAGGTGTCTAGTGGAGTTTTCAATTATGAACCAGCTACATGATCATGTGTGGTGCGACGTGGTACCCATAGATTCCTACCATATTTTATTTGCTAGACTTTGGCAATTTGGTCGTAAGACTTAGCACGACAGATTCAAAAACACCTACTCCTTAACTAATGAGGGGAAGCACATCGTCATTCTACCTTTTGCGAAGCTCGAGATCATGTGTCCATGCCAGTAGAGCAGCATCAGTGGGACCAGTTTTGATGACGATAGATGATAAGATTAAAACATTAATTCCAGATATGAGAGAGACTTCAATTCCAACTGTGAGAGACACCGATTCCAGACATGGAACAGTCGCGACGGGCATTTCAAGACACCATGATCGTTATACTTTGCCACGATGGCCACTGCTGTTCAGGGAGCTTCAAACTACTTTAGATCAGGTTGAGCAAATCTTGGTTCACCTTGGGAAGATTTAGCAGATGATGTGTGACATGAAGTCTCAATTCAAGTCAATAGTGTACCTCTAGAAGGTTGGATCGATATAGATGTACGCTTGCAAGTGGAGAAAACTCCTCTGGTGTTTTGGGAGATAGTGCAGCAGACAGTGAGATCCATAGGCTACTAATGCCGCAGTCGAAAATTTTTCAACCTCGGGAGGTTCCAACAATTGTGTTATTGTCAACATGCAGGCAAAAACTTTGACAAATGATGTTGAAGCTACCCTGCTCCCTCAACCCCACGAAGTGGGGGGGGGGGGGTGCGCTGAATTGACCAGTGCAGCCCTAGGGTTGCCGCCCAAGGGAGGGGGCTTTCCCCTCCTAGCTATCTACTAAAACAAATATGTTCCTTTTGTTGATTAGTGTTAGTTTTTGCTTGTGTTTTGGTTCAGATCACCGTTAGCGTCCTATTTTCCCTTCCAGGATTGTATCCGATGACAGGTGGTGCTCTGGCTGTATCTTGTTTCAAGTTGTTGATTATCCTCACATATCTCCTCCATGCGATTGATCTTGAATTATCAGAGTGAAGTGGCCAAAGATTTTATAGAAAGAAAAAATTTAGAATTTTCTTCAAATTCAGCCTTCGATATACCAATCCTCACCTCCTCATGAAAAGAAGAGTTTACCCCTGTCACGACCCAGCTTGTGAGCTTGAAATTATAAAGACGAAACTGACACTTGGACGGAGGAAACTTATCTAATAGTTTCATTTCTCAAAAAAAAAAAAAAAATTCCAGAGCACACAAGAGTCATTATATTTATAAAATTTAAAATTACAACCACTTTATATAGATTGTTTAATATTTACGACTGACAAAAAATAAAAGCCAACCCGTTATACCTATCAGCTTGTGCTCCACGACGCCTATACACATACTCTTTGGGGTTTATCTATTCTGCAATTGATTTTTCTGTAAAAATGTTAGTAACTAAAGGTTTGGGTTAAAACTACTAAATGGACAACTGTTTCTAAATTACAATAATTCTCATTTTTAAATATTTTGTAAAAGAGTAATAACAATAAAAGAGTCATCACTTTCATTTCCTGCTCTGATCATCTCGTACACCTTTTGCACCTAAGGTTTCATAAATAAAAGTCATCATCTAAACTTATACTTTATACATTTAATTTTTTCCAACCCAACATAAAGGTAGACAACCATTTCCATTTCAATTTCTGTTACTATTTCCATTTTTGTTTTTTTTTTCATTTTCATTTTTTGTGCACAGGTATATTGTATTTTCTTATCAGTACCATCTAAGGGTGACTCCTATATGCATGCATATATCATATTTTATTCATTTTTATCTTACAGTTAACATTTAAAAGAAAATATGTAATTTTGCATTCAAAATAAAAGCTGATAAACTAGTAAATAAGCAAACAATTATAAAATAAAATACATTTATCCACCTGAATAGTGTGTTATGTTATCCCTTTCCTCAGATCAATTTAGTCCTTAGATGCACTTATATTAATAATTTAAAGGTGATTAGTTTTTTGTTTAGGCTAATCTTCTCTCCTATGAACTCTAGATTCTCTATCATTATTTTCATAATTTAATTATTTAATTAGCTTTATATATATATATATATATATTAAAAAAGAATGTCCGGAGGCTATTAGACGAGCCCCCAACCACCCTCATGTGTCTAACTATTCGAGGACCGTTCTCACTACCGGTAAACTGGGCAGAGGTAGATTCAAACCCGTGACCTGAGGGGACTAACGATCTTCAAATAGGTTGCTCTACCAACAGGTCACGACTGGCCGCAATTGAATTCATAGTCATGAGCAAATGGTGGAGGAATGTAGAAGATGTTTAGGGCAGCCAAAGCAGGGATCATCAAAACCTTAGGTGCAAAAGGTGTACGAGATGATCAGAGCAGCTAGAGTACGGGGAAATGAAGGTGGATGTGAGGGATCATTGAAAATCTAGGAGCCTCTAAGGAGAGAGATCATCAAAGAAAAACAAGGAGTGGTGAGAAGGAATGCTGATACGTGCAACCCAAGCTAAGTGAGGAGATGGACAATACAGATGTGGAATGAGAAAAGGAGAGCATTATTTTGAGCATAGAGTGGAGTTTGGAGGCGGAAAAGAGAGGTTGTCGTCAACTTGACCTAAACTTGACTTGAAAAATCTGGATTAGAGTTGACGCAAATACTATTCTGGTCCTATTCAAGTCAAATTAGTGACCCATTTATTTTTTGGGTCGGATTTGGGGTGACCCACGCAATTGATCTGAATACTATTCTGGTTTGGTAGGTTTGGATCAAGTTTGTTTGTGTCAGACATTTTGACTCGTACAATAAAATGTTTGGGTTCAGGTTATAAGCATATTAGGATATGGTCAATGTTGAGGTAGATCCAAACCTAACCTTTCCACCTGAGTTATTACTATTTAGTAGGAATCATGCACAACGGCAAGGATTGCATGAGACGTGAGTGTCTTTCATGAAAGCATGTGGACAGAAGCTGAATGAGAGAACAAACTTACGGGGTCCTATGGGGATAGAGGATATGAAGATGACCCATTGCATTAGCACAAGGGCCTAAGGATGTGTGTCCCTTCACAAGCGCAGGAATG